CATGCAATGTCATGCTGGTTCCCACTGACTTTGTGGGAAGTCATGAGGGAAGGTCACAAATGGCGAGCAAGTAATCCAACTTCTGCAACTTCAAAAATAGATCATATTCTTTCAAGCTGAATAACTGATCATAATAATAATAAGAAGAAGAAAAACACAATGTATATTACTATTTTCCTTAAAAATCTACTTCATATAAATATTAGTTTACAACAATAGGTTTTGTTTTTACTGGCATTTTTTTCATGGATAGATAACCTTATGCTTTTCATTTCCCCCTGATAACATCACTAATGGTCATGTGTTGTAGTCCAAAATCTTGCTTTGCAACTGTTTAATAGTGAAAAAGGTAAACAGAAATATCATAACTGAAGGTATCAGGTTGGCTGTCACTGTATTCTCCATTCCTTGTGTTATAGCCCACTATTTGTCACAAGAGTAATTGTTCCAAAATAATTTCACTAAGACATATTATCTGAACCTAATTATATAATTCTCTGATTACCGTACTAGACATATACAAGTTAGTTATGAGAATAACAGGTTACAGGAATACATGCTGAATGGTCTCAAACATTTGTACATAATATAATAATAAATATCCTTTCTACTTTAGAGGAGGGATTAAGGTTGGTGTTTTCATGTCAAGTTGAGTCCTGGCGATTGCCAGGATCCACAGAGGTAATTGTCATTCCACAAAATTTGGGCTCCTTGGAAAATAGGTGGCATTTTTAGTGGCGATAGTGGCACTACAGCTATTTTGTTCAGGATGGCCAAGATTGGGAGTGTGTCTGTGTGGGTAGACAGAAGATAGAAAGTTGTTTGTCTTTTATTTGGTGGGGGGAGGTGACACACTAGCAGAGTCATGTTAGATGTTTTCTGAATTTTTGACATGTTAAGTCAAAATGTTTGCCATCAGTGCTCTTGATTAAACAATGTCATCTTTTAGGACCCAAGAAACACACTTTCTCTGTAATAATACAACCCTCTGGACTAAGGTTTCCCCAGAGATCCAGATGGCTTCCACCCTCATAGCTTTCCAGAATGCGCTAAAGATTTGACTGTTTGACTTTGTGATAGGGTGAATAGAATCCATTTTGTTGGATATGTTTATACATGTATTATTGTGTAGTGTAGACTGCTTTCTAGATTGAGCCACAAAAATCAGCTGAAGCTGAGTGGCACTGAAATTAAATAAAAAAATCTTAAATAAAACAAACTCAATGTTTGTCTTGAAATCTGATCTTTTGTAATTTGGATAGAAAAGGAATTAAGTTCATGTACTAATTATAATTTAAACTTGTAGTTTTCTAGCTAGACAGCGTTAGATATGGTGCTTTACAGTGCTTTAGTATTGGGATAACTAGCAGTCTTAATTACGACTACTAGTTACACCTTTAGTGACAAAATGCATGTGTGAATGCAGTTTATTGCATATCAAATATGATAGTGAAAATGAAGACAATTTATCTTACAACTTATGCCCAGAAGTTGAAAAGCACATGCTATTCTTGTGTGACCTCCACAGCTTCTATCACAATTTAGGCAAAAGCTATAGATATTTTGCACAATTTGGAATTGAAATTAATTTAACCTAAGATCTTAACCTCTTGTACTTCATTTATACATTTGAATTCTGAAGTATGCAAAAGATTTTCATAAAGTATGTGAAAACAGCTTTTCTACAAATTCTATAGCTGCCTTTGGCAAGTCTTATTTTCTAATTATAGATGCAGCTTTATTTACCAATGAAAGGCTGTTCTAACTGAATGGCATCTCATTGTGTTACGCAAAAGTATATTTCAAGCATTTTGGGAAACTATTAAGATTTCTTTTTAAAAAAATCCTGGTACAATGCTTTGAATTGCAAAGTGGTCTGTTCCTCCCTAAGGGAACAAGCTTGTAGCATACAATTATCACTACAATTGAAAGGTATTGTGATTCTTTTCTTAAAGGAATCTCTATTCTTTTAATCTGATAGTGCACATTTTAAGAATAGTTCGCTGCATCTGCTGATTTATTATAAATGTAAGTTTTAAACCATTTAAAGTCTTGTAATGATATAGAGAGAGAGCCAGTTTGGTTCAGTTGTTAAGGCATCAAGCTAGAAACCAAGACACCATTTGTTTTAATCTTGCCTTATGCATAAAGCCTGCTGGGTAACCTTGAACCAATCATTTTTCTCAGCCCTAGGAAGGAGACAATGGTAAGCCACTTCTGAAAAACCTTGTCAAAAAAATGTAGGTATCTTATTCATGCAGTCTGAGAATCAGACATGACTGAACAACGACAAAAGAGCTAAACTTAGCAAAAGAAGGAAAATTAGTATGCATCTCCTAACCACTACTTTGCTGTTCTCTTGTTTTGTTCCCAGAATGGCAAAATACCTGTAACAATACATCACAATTTCTTTTTGTAACCAACTTTCTATACTGAAACATTTCAGCTAAATTATTTAAATATGTTTATATAGTCATGCTTTTCCTTGTATTTTTCAAAAAAGATTCATTTAATTGGGAGAGATGTTTAAAAATAGGTTATAATTCTCAGAGGTTTTTTTAAAATATATATATTAAAAATGTGTTTCCATAGCACTCTTCAGAGTAGTCCAAAGTTCTTAATATATTTAAATAGACACTCAACATACTATTTCCTTTGGACTGAACAGCATCATCTGCCTATGTAGTCACTAAAGTAGACATCCAATCAAAAGAAAAATATGTAAAGTATAGAAAAAGAGTAAGGAGTAAAATGCCAAAGTAATTAAAATCATGTGAAAATGAGAAATTATTCATTCATTTATTTATACCTTTCACCGTCTCTGTATATTTCTATCATAAATTGCCACAATTTCCATTATGTCCATGTATTCAGCTCATACATTCATCCTTTTCTGAGTTTCTTACATTCTTATTTATACAATGAAATGTCATGTTTATGGATTTGTACATGGATTTGTTTGGCTTATTTGTTTATACTAAAGTTATATAAGGGATGGCCTTTCCTTGATGCTGGGAAGCTGGTTACAGGAAGTGAGAATTGTAGTTCAGCATTATTTGGAAGTCCATAAATACTGTATTTACAAGAAGAAAAACTAGCAGTGCTCATTACAGCAAAAGATTTTGCATGGACCAACATGACTGGTATCTCGTATTTATTCACTCAAGTATACAGAGTGTATAGATCGCAAATTAAATCTATAAGAGTAGAATGTAACCTACTGTAAAAATACACTGTTGAGCTGGGCCATCTGAAACCTTTGCTCCAAATGAACAGAAAGTTTATTTTGACTGCAGAATTATTTCATTCAAACTTTATAAATCCTGCTGTAAATCCTGAGGATCACCTGTAATCTTAATTTGCTATCTCTGATTTTTTGAGGTGTTGGTTATCATGTTGCCATTTAAACAAAAAAATTTTTACTTCTTTGGTTTTGCAAACTCTGAAATACTCTGGGGACTCTTTAACATTAAAAAACAACACAGGCAGGAATATGCGCACACTTTAAACATTTAAATACATATTTATATTGGCATCACATGTATAAATCATTAAATTAGTTGCCATGGTGACAGGCTATATGTCACCATTAAATTTCAACATTGCGGGATATTTTTCAAATTGGCTTAAAAAATAGTAATAAGGTGTCAGGGAAACAATGTTTTGCTAGTAGATAAATGTTAATGGACTTACCGTTTCTGGCAGCTGTGGATGCTAATTTAACCTTTTGCTTTTGCTTTCATATCTACCCGGTACTAATGTATTTCCAAACCTACCACTGTAACAATTTGTGCCTCACACTGTGAATAAACGGAAAGTGCCACTGGCTTCCTTTCTTAATGACTACAATCCTATATACTTCCATTACTGATTTATCACTTGTTGCTTGTATGTACACTGAGATCTTATGCAACAGACACAAATTCCTTGTGTGTCCAACCACACTTGGCCAATAAAGTATTCTATTCTATTCTATTCTATTCTATTTTATTCTATTCTACTGATAATAAAATTTCACTCTCACCATTAGAGGTATAATGGAAGATGTTTGACTAAAAAAGGTCAACTGCCTTGTTTATGAATGTCATTTTTTTTTTCTTGAGAGGCTCTTTTTTTAAAACGGCAATAACTTTTTGACCCACCTAAAGAATAAAATTGATTTTTAAGCTGTTATCGCCTGCAGTAAAGGGTTATTAGGATGTATACTTTTACAAGAACTACACAAGACACATTTTACAAAATCTTTTACTATTTGTTTTTAGGAAGGTGCAAAAGATGTTTTGGGGAAATATTTAATGTCTGCTTTCTCCCAATATTAATGATGTTATTATATTCATAAAATTATACAATATTTATTTAATAATGTTTTAATTTGTTGTTTATATTTTTATAGGCCAAAAGGTGGCTTCTAAAAATTATAATAATGGATATCCTAAAAGACTTCAATAAGTTAAATCAATGGTAGAGAATAAAACAAAAAATAAATTTATTATTTCTTTATTATTCTCATATTTATAGGTGAGATGTTTTGGTATAGCATCCTTTTTTTAGTGGCATAGAAATCAGATTTGATTATTCTTTTCCCATTTGTTCAGTTCAGGGTAAAATCAGAATGGTTTTAGAATTAGAAATCAATTAGTGATCATTATGAAGAATCTTATTAATGGAGACTATCACGTTCTTTATCTTGAAAAACTGCTAACAAAGGTGTCTAGCATTTTGAATCTCTAAACAGAATGTTTTTCTCTCAGAAAGTTTCCTATTGATGAGCCAGCAATAATTTTCTCTAGGAGTAACTTTATGAAGTAACAGAACATATACAGTATACAGTATAAATGTATTTGTTCCCTACCTGGATTGAGACAGCACTATATTTAGATTCAAACTTGCAAGAAGATAGAAAATAATACACTATAGTATTAAATATTGTATATGCTGGAATTTTAAGATTCAGTTATTTCAAGTAACATGATGAGTTTGTGAATTACTTCTTTACTTACCGGCACATTTTGTCCTTGTTTTAAGTGCTGGTCCAGGAGATCCAGTACCCCCTTCACCTGGTCTAGTGAGCAATACACTAATTTCATATTCTGTGTCAGGATCCAGGTGTCCAATTTTATACTTTGTTGAATCCACTGGTTGTATATCATACCAGCTTCCACTTGAGGTGCGATATTCTATTTGTCTCACAGTGATGGGTCCATCTCCATTAATAGAATTGGCATTCAACTGTATCCATAAATAGGTTGCACCAACAGATGACAGTTGAGGAGGTGCAATAGGAACCGGAGGCTCTGAAACATAGATAATGAGTACATATGTATTTGTACAGTATACGTAAAAAACTGCATCTAGCCCAATTTTTTTGTTTATGTTTGTTTATGTTTATGTTTATGTTTATTGAACACTTATAGGCCGCCCTTTTCCCTGAGGGGACTCAGGGCAGCTTACAATAATGAGGGAAGGGAGTGCAAGACAAGACATAAAAGAAAANTGTATATATACATAGACACATACATCATAATATTCCTTTTGGATAAATCAATGCTATATAAAGCACAGTAATGGAATAAGAAACAGCAAGACAAAGATATTAAAAGTATGAGATGAGAAGCAGATAAGGAAACATAGTTCAAAATAGTTTACATTCAAACCATTTACTATAATTCTTCACCAATCTACTTTTGCAAATTATCGGTGCTTCCACCTTCTATACACAGTATACTGCTCTGTAAATTGCTTTTTGTTGTTTCAATTTCTCATTTCTATCTTTTGCTTGATCATATCAACAATGAAGGTCAACAATTCTCTTGATCTTTCCCTTCATCTGTATTCCTTAACTCTGTCTTCATGCCAAACCACCTCAACATATCACATGTGGACTGACTGCTCAGTTTTATATTTTCCTGAATAAACTGCTAGCGCAGTAAAGATCAGAATTGGTACCAGAATTTTTGTTGCTAAGCAATATGTTTGCAAAGTGTGATGTCACATGACTGCAATGCTTAGGCTTAGCAGTCCCATCACTTCCTATTGCCATTATGGGTCACTCTGAGTACCCACCTGAAGCTATGCCATTCTGTGCTTGGTCTCATCAAACTCCATGCCTCAGTAAGGTAAAGGACTATTTTCTCTTCAACTCCTCCTACTCACATATCTTTCCCCCATCTTTCCCCTATTGTCCGCCCCATACACTGCCTTGTGCCACAGTAAAGACTCCCAGAACCATGAAGCTCTGGGATTGCTTGCCATGCTGCAGTTCAGACTTCTGGGCACACTGCAATACTGAGGTTGTAAGACGTCTGAGCCACAACACAGTGTGAAACTGCCAATCAGAACAATGACACAAGCCACTGACATAGGAAATTCTAGATGCTTCAGGAAGTCCTAGCAGCAGAGTCAAAGCTGCTGAACCAAGGACAGCAGGCATGCTTCCCTCACTGCCCTGCACTCTAACACCCCAGCTGACCTTCAGTTTCGTCTTACTCCTGCTGCTGATAAGGCATGTCTATCCTGGTCCTTTATAAAGCAGCTGGTAGCCACATGATTTTCCCCAGGTCTCTTGAGGAAAGCCTTTGGCTTGCTGTTCTCCAAACAGTGTGGCCCATTCTCACAATGCTTCAGAAGTCCTCGGAAACTTTTTCAATGCTTTCAAGGATCATGAAAATGGGGCATACTATTTAGAGAATAGTGCAGTTTTGGAAAAGAGACCTGGCATGGCCAGCAGCTGCCTGGCAGAGAGCCAAGCCAGAGATGCACTTTATCAACAGCAGAAGTAAGGTAGCAAAAGTCAGTGGGCCGCAGATGGGTTCAAAAGGCATACACAATGCGTAGCATTGGGAACAACTGAGGTTTTGCACTGTGATGCTGTGGTGGCTGGCCGTGCTATGGGGCTTGAGATGACATTTCTCAGTGGCAGTGGTGGTGCTGGGGCTGGGAGACCTGAGAGCATTGGCAGCTGGCTGGTAGGGCTGAAAGACCCAGGTCTCTACTTCAGCCCCAATCCTGCAACTGCCACCAAAGAGGGTGATTAAAAGAGCACAGGAGGTGGAAATATGCAGGTAGGTATGGTCATAAATGGAGTCAGGCTGCCAAATGTTTGAATTTGGTCACATGACTGTGGATGCACCAAAAAATCCATAATTTCAGGGACTGCACATAAGTCACTTTGTTCAGTGCTTCATAACATTTGAGTGATCACTGAATGAATGGTCATTAAGTCAAGGACTACCTCTAAAACAAAGCAGGCAGAAACATGCTGTTGTGCTCAACCCTTTTTGGTTATTCACCCAATTTCCTACATGTGGTAAACTTTGTGGGAAACAGCTTAATCTAATTGTTTTAAACTTTACCTATTGATGTATATCAATAATTCATTTTTCCTTGCCTAAAACGCAAGTATCTTGTGATAGATACATTAATTTTTGAGCCACTTTCTTTATTGCATTATACAATCTGTATAACATTTCCTATAAATTAGTTGGGTGCTCAATCCTTACTCTGCATATTAGTATGCACAATCTGCCCAATACAGTATATGCAAATTGATAACCTTAGCCGATAAATCTCTACTATCATCTTATATTAGCATCAAGCCTGGAGTTGGTCATTTTAATTAAATAGATTGCAAAATCGCCAATGGAAACAATTTGCTTGACATGAAAAATTTCCAGGAATTTGGTCTCTATCCTTTTCATTTGTATGTCAATCCGGAAATACCTTTAATGATCAGTTCTGCATAATTTGATACTCCAACTCCTCCTTCTGTGCGAATCATGCAGCGGTAATTGCCAGCATCCCGTTTAGTAGCATTCACCACACTAAAAGATGCTACAAATCGACGATCATTAAAAATTTTCATGTCCTTCAAAGGTGCATCCCGTACAAGCAATCCCTAATGAGAAACAAATACAACAATTTATTTTAATATATACTTCATTTGCAAGTATTTTACAATAAATATTAAAATTAATGTGGGCATGTAAATAAGCATATGCATAGTTTTGTCATCCTGTTCCCCCCATCCCCCAAGCTTGCTGTGTTGCTTCACCATGGCAAGGTTGTGTGTTCCTGGGAGGGATTAGCAAAAACTGCTGGAAGTGTATGGCAAAAGTATATATCCCCAGAGTCAGCCAAAGCATGAAGCTCTTCCCAGATGCCTAACTAAAGCAAACAAACACCTATATTGGGCAGCAGAGATCTAGAGAGAGATGCCAGACACAGATAATCACCTTAGTGACAATGGCAAGGGCAACAATTCATACTGTGCAAGAGAAGGCGACTGTAAACCACTAATGTATTTTCACCAAGAAAACCACATTAATAGAAAATATAAAATGACCGACATTGTATGAAGGAAGATGGGCCCGTCAGCTGGGTCATATTACTAAGAAAGAACAGAAGATCTTTAAGGAAATTAATAATGTTTAAGACTCCACTAGATTAAAGCCTTTGGAATGTTTAATATTGTTATATAACAAAAGAAAAACAAGCTGCAAAGAGAGAATCAAAGCAGGAACATGGACCATTAAAAAGCATAAACATGGGAAAACCCAGCACCCTGAAAGATGAAATGAAACCACTACAAATTGACATTTTAGGCATCAATGAATTGAGATGTACTGGGATTGGACAATTTCCTCTAGAAGATTACATTATTTATTACCCAGGATATGAAAAACAAGAATAGCATTTGGCTACAGTGCAATCAATGACCAAGTAATATTGATTAGACTTCATGGAAATATGACGATCCTTTAGATTTATGTTTCAACCACTGATACAGAAAAGGATGTTGATGAGTTTTATGATCAAATTCAATTTGAAATCAACAGAACATGTAAGCAAGATGCATATCTACCCTTTTAAAGAGACAGTTGAGCATCCTGGATTTTAAAAAAATGCAAGTTAACTTTTGTAATTCACTTATACACATGCAAAATAGTTTTACAGTTTTGTATAACTTTCTTTAAAGATTAAGATCTAAATTTTAGAGGATAAAAGACATCTCAGTATCAGTATTGT